GTGTGCTTCTCTGCCGTCCTCTCTTTGACTTGCAATTCCTCTCAGAATCCTTGCATCGGAGCCCAAGGGTCTGGAGTGGCTTTGGCCTCTGTGAGGTACAGGGTGCGCCCAGACACATGTCACCTTCCTCAGTCACTTCTGAAGTCTTTGCTCCTTACCCTCTCTTAGGCTGCTCTTTCGTCTCAACATAGCATTAATGACAAGCTCCATCTTGCCTGTATTACAAGGTAGTTTTAGTGAACAAGGGAAGTACTTGCCATAATGTGCTTCACAAATTGTGACTTCATGGAGAGTGCTCGTCGTTGCTGTCGTGGCAGTAGATAGTCGTGGAGGTCGTTTTGCTGGGTGTGGTCTGTCTGGGATATTTTCTGCCTGAGACAGGGAACCCACGTTTCCCTTTTGGTTGCCCCCTCTGCTGTCAGCTGTTTCTGGTGAGGCCCACTTGGTAGGGCTGGACCGAGCTGGATCTGTTATGAGAAGGATCGATGGCTAGAATGATTTTTATTGTCACAGTCCCTTCCATCTTTCAATATCTGTCAACTTTTATTAAAATTTTTTTTAAATTGACTTTTAAGTAAGTTCAAAGGGAACTGCATTAAGGAAAATAAGGGGCTTGAAGAAAGGATAAAAGATAGTGTAGAAAAAAATTCCCTTAGACTTCATTGGAGACACACACAGACACAGACACAAACATGCACACCCACACACACACCACACCACACACACATACCGTGTACATACCCACACACCCACACCCACACACACGCATACCGTGTACATACCCACACACCCACACCACACACCACACCCATATCATACCCATACCACACCACACACACACCGTGTACACACCCACACCCATACCACACCCATACCACACCACACACACACACACACCGTGTACACACCCACACACCCACACCCATACTACACCACACACACCGTGTACACACCCACACCCATACCACACCCACACCACACCCCACACACACACCGTGTACACACCCACACACCCACACCCATACCACACCACACACACACACCGTGTACACACCCACACACCCACACCCATACCACACCACACACACACACCGTGTACACACCCACACGCCCACACCCATACCACACCACACACACATACCGTGTACACACCCACACCCCCACACCCATACCACACCCATACCACACCACACACACATACCGTGTACACACCCACACACCCACTCCACACCCACACCACACACACACCACACCCATATCACACCACACACACATAGCGCGTACACACCCACACCACACCCACACCACACACACATACCGTGTACACACCCACACACCCACACCCATACCACACCACACACACATACCGTGTACACACCCACACCACACCCACACCACACACACATACCGTGTACACACCCACACCCACACACCCACACCCATACCACACCCATACCACACCACACACACATACCATGTACACACCCACAAACCCACACCCATACCACACCCATACCACATCACACACACATACCGTGTACACACACACATACTGTGTACACACACACCACACCCACACCACACACACACCACACCCACACACCCACACCCATACCACACCCATACCACACCCATACCACACCACACACACACCGTGTACATACCCACACACCCACACCACACACCACACCCATATCACACCACACACACACACCGTGTACACACCCACACCCATACCACACCCATACCACACACACACACCGTGTACACACCCACACACCCACACCCATACCATACCACACACACACACCGTGTACACACCCACACACCCACACCCACCACACCCATACCACACCACACACACACACCGTGTACACACCCACACACCCATACCACACACACACACCGTGTACACACCCACACACCCACACCCATACCATACCACACACACACACCGTGTACACACCCACACACCCACACCCATACCACACCCATACCACACCGCACACACAAACCGTGTACACACCCACACCCATACCACACCACACACACACACCGTGTACACACCCACACCCATACCATACCACACACACACACCGTGTACACACCCACACACCCACACCCATACCACACCCATACCACACCCATACCACACCACACACACACCGTGTACACACCCACACCCATACCACACCCATACCACACCACACACACACACCGTGTACACACCCACACCCATACCACACCCATACCACACCACACACACACACCGTGTACACACCCACACACCCACACCCATACCACACCCATACCACACCGCACACACATACCGTGTACACACCCACACATCCACACCCATACCACACCCATACCACACCACACACACACACTGTGTACACACCCACACACCCACACCCATACCACACCCATACCACACCACACACACACCGTGTACACACCCACAAACCCACACCCATACCACACCCATACCACACCACACACACACACTGTGTACACACCCACACACCCACACCCATACCACACCCATACCAC